CGGAGGCACCTGCCGATACCGGTGTTGCATTGCCGGTGTCCAGCTCCACCCAGGGGAAAAACTGCAAGGAAGCCAGAAAAAAACACAGCTTTCAACCCAGCTTTGTGGGAATCCTGAGAGTTTAGTTAGGGTGGGGGGAGCAGGTGTCAAGTGATTTGACTTACAGCCATCAAGCCCTCGGGCTGACTGACAGCCAGATGTACACATTGTGATCGCAGTAGACGCTACAGAGGAAGCTGGTGAATAATGCCACAGTGAACAGCTTTCCATCAAAGCTGTCTGGGTTCTTTGAGACAATAAATCTGTGCCATTGACGTTTCAGTGGGGGTCCCCTCCTGCAGGTGTGGGCAGTGGGGGGTGCAAAGGGGCACAGGGGGACCCCGCGATGTCCTCGGCTCCACAGTGCCATGGGGTTGGGTGTCCGGTGCGGGTCGGGGCCGCCAGACATCACTGGTTGAGGGCAGCTCCCCATGCAGCAACCGCTCAGGTTTTCCCCACCACTTCAAGGAACCTTGTAAAGTAAATTGGAATTGAAAAATAATCGAGCTGCTGCAGATGTCTCCACATACGGGATGATTTTAACCTTCTGCTTAAACACTCCCAGCTCATTTTGTTTTGGGCTTAAATTCAGGAAAGTTTTAATAGCGGTCAACAGCTCGGTGCCTGAACCAGAGAGGAACAGAGGGGGTGGGTGGCATCCTGGCACCCCTGCTCTGCTCTGCGGCCAGGTGTCCTCTGGCAGCACCAACGCCGAATTTGGGGTGCTGGCCATTGCATCCCCGTTGAAGGGGTTGGGAAGCAGAGGTTCCCCGGCGCTGGCACCACTGCAGCCCCACCGCCCCATCTCGTTGCTCGCCCCGACAGGGATGCTGTGAAGGAGCTGATGTTGCTGCGCTCGCGGGCGCTGCTGGCCTGCCGCGCCGTGGCGGGGCTGGAGGGATGCTCCCAGGCGGTCCTGCACCGCAACGGCTGTGTGAGGAAGACCTTCGCCAGCAGCTTCGCAGCTGTGAAGAAGAGGTCGGTGTGTGCTCAGCTCAAACTGCAGGCGGTGAGTGCGGGCACCGGGACCCTCGTGGCTGCAGGTCAGCGTATTTGCAGCACTGCGTATCCTGACCCCACACTGAGGCCCTGCCTTAGACACACTTCTCCTTAGCGAGAGCCCTGCACCCCTCAGCAGGCACCTCCTGCACCGCAGGGCTGGGGGTCACCATTGCAGCTGTGTCCCGCAGGGCTCGTGGCCCAGGATGCTGCTCTGGCCGCAGGTGGCCACAAGCCTCCCCAGCATCGCTGTCACTCAGGGAAAGCATCCCAGGCAAACAAATCATAAAGCAGATTACACACGCACCTTGCTGTGCTGCCACTTAATCCTCTTAAGCACTCGGAGTAGACTAGCCCTCTGTGCTGGGCACGTGCCAAGCTCCTGCTGATCTCAGCCATAATTAGGTGCCTAAACTCTCTCAGTCTCCGTAGACTCCCCAGCCAGCCCGCTTTGTGGTTCTGGCCGTCCCTGGCAAACCCCCACCCAGCAACCCTCAACCCTGGTAACTTTTTGTAGCCCGTCAACCGAAAACATCGGACATTAGGAGGAAGGGTCCCACTCAGCATCTGTGACTTGCACCTTGGGCTCACCTCTCTGACCGAAGCTGTTGTTCCTAACATGCACCTGAGCTTTGAGGGCTCTGAGGATGACTCCTTCACCTGCCCAGACACGCTGGGCGGGTGCATGGGGAGTGTTTCCCACCACCGCCGCCTGCTGCTCCTTTGCCCCATGCCTCCCTCCAGCCCTGCTGACCTCTGCTTGCCTGGCAGGACGCGCTCACGAACCTGCTCCGACGGTCCCAGCTGCACTTTGTCCACTGCCTCCTCCCGGGAGTGGGGGCGGAGGGGGTGGAGGGCCCGGTCCCTCGGCCCCCTGCACTGCCTGACACAGCCCTGCGGCTGGACGTGCCGGCCCTGCGAGCCCAGCTGGAGGGGACCCAGCTCCTGGACGCCCTGCGCCTCCACCGCATCGGTACGCTCTGGCCCTCCACCGCTGCAGTGTGCCAGGCCGGTCCCGCCTGCCGGTGCTGCCCTGCCGGCAACTCAGCCCTTCCACGCTTTGCTCGTCATCTGCCTCTCGCGAGCCCCCCTTCAGCAAAACCCCTGGGTTTTTATTGCTGCTTTTTGCATGGGTTCCCAGCCCCGCTCCTGCCCGCAGCATGCAGTGCTGCTGGGTGGCACAGCGCCGGTGGGGTTCCCCTGTGCGTCTGTGCATCAGGTTGGACCTGCACCGACCGCGGTCACAGTCCATGCCAGGGGGAGGGGGACCCATGCAGGAGGCCCAGGGGCATCTCCTGCATGACACGAGGTGCTGGGATGGCATCTGGCCACCTCAAGCGCATCTCCACTGCTTCTCCCCTCCCTCTGCCCTGACCGCACCACAGGGGTTTCTCTCTGCTAAGGGCAGCTTCCCCGGTCCCCATCACCCG